GGTAGACTAGTCATCAGTGCAAGTGACTATTCTGTGTATTGAAGCCTGTTTTTAGTTCTCAAATTCTGGGTCTCAATCATTAGATTTAACTGTGATTGCAGCCTGCCCAAGACTTTAGTCATGTAAATTGGTTACAATTTGACACCCAATGTAGGGTCTGATTCCGTGACACTGCTGACTGAGAAGATTATAACAATATTCAAGTTAACACAAATGATACATCAGACCTAAACAATCCAATTTTCATACAAGAAGTTACATCTTATTATAAACAAGTTGAGGGGGGAGGATCCTGATTCATCATATTACCTGGTAATCAGGCAGCACATACACAAATCACAACAGTCAATACCATCTACAGAAACAATATGGCTGGCATACCTTACGTCCACAATTGTACAATGGTATATCAGATATTGTTGCAAACTTAAGAAAATGATCTCATTGCAGCATATACAGATAACATATATAAACAATGTGTACACATTCTGAACTGTAGAGACAAGTGCTATCAGTGTGACCAATATCCTACAACGACCTCTTCAGAATCTATTCAAGTGACATATTGTACCAATACTGACAACTTACTACTCTGACTTAGTTCACGTAACACATCAAGCTAGTTTGATGAAAACTTTAAATTTTAATTGGTTTAGTGAGTACCATCAACTCGATTATCTTTATGCACATCATAATTCAGTAACAAAGTATTTTACCAAATGTCATTAAATACTTTAATCAATGTAATGGGTTATAATAGCCTGATCAACATGCTGCATACGATTCAGCAAATGTTACATCGACTCGAAGAAAAGTTGAATCTGTGTGATTTTTAACTTGACCAACGTAAGGATAATAACAAGTAGCAATGCATAGCACGATACATCTGTTTTATGTTTTCAACCATTGTACTTGATACAACACATGTAAGGATGATGTAGAAAGATAAGGCACATACTTGAAATAAGATTTATTCCACTCAGATTTATGTTCAGGCAAACATTTATTTTGATTCATTGACAAACCAATACAGTATTTTTTATAAAGTACTGTGTTTACACAAGTTGTAATATCTTTTAAAATATCTTCAATGATGAATGTTATGTGTCAATAACAAACCATATGAGAAGGTAATCAGAGTTTGAAAGTGATATTTAAGCCATCATGTTCTCATACAAGTCTACAATAAAGAGCTACACCAATAAAAAATTCCAAAATTATGTGAAAATTTGATTAATACAACCAAAAATACAATTTTAGAAGGGCCTACTGTGAAACTTTTAATTTGGATTTATATATATATATGTATATACATACACGTATCAGTGCTCGGAGGTTAACTCTATTGAGCATGTGTAATGACTACATCAATTAGTGTTATAAAAATAATCAATCAACCAATCAAAAATTTGTTTATGATAATTTCTCTAACTAACCAAGTCTCACTTGAGAATAATCAATTAATGAGTCCAGCAATTAATTGATTAGAAAACTTAAACTAATAGTCCAGCTATAATATATATATATATATTATAATAAGCCCAGTGATATTATTGTCAAAAGGTCAGGAGGTTTAATATAATAATGTTTGCAACTGAAAGCCTGGTTCTACTTCAGGTATCTATGTGGATACAACTGTAAAATTCAATGTTTAATTATTTTTATCACCATAATTTCACAAAATTAGTATCACATTTCTCCTTTACACAAAGTTTTATTTCTTTAAAAATTACACAAAACATTAGGTTGTTTCTTTGTACATGTTTTAGTTTTCTTTACACTTGTATTTCACATATTTTCCTCTTTATCTTCAGAGCAGTTCAGACTACAATTTGTATTTATTTTTTTAATCTCATACATCTGAATTCTCCTACCCCAGTTACAATAACTTACTTTAAATGAAAAGACTTTATACAAGACCTTGTTTTTTAACACTGAAAATGTTTAGAAATGTTTTTGTGCAAGGGCCTTTCAAAACTAGTTATTATATTATTACTACCATTGATATTTATCTTGCGACCAGATGCAGAGTCAACAAGTGTTATGTTTTATAAAAGACGGTTTCTCAGAAATTCACTAGTTTCATTAAAAAACACAAAGAGAAACTATTATTATAAAGGGAAAAATGCAAGTAAGGTTTTGGATCTTTTTATTAGATCTATTAAAATTGCTGAGAAGGAATGTTTTCATTATAAACATTACAATTCAAATCACAAACCAAGTCTTTAATGGTTAAACAACAATATTTTTTTTTTATAATAAGTGATAAATGTAGAGCTTTCAAAATATGAAAACCACTATTAAAATAGAAAATATGGAAGAATACCAAAATAATTGTGTGTGGAAGAAATATTGTTGTGGAGAGTGAAAAGAATTTGGGTATGATGATTGGTAGAATGAATGTGTGGAATTGATGAATAAAAAACAAATTCATTTAAATTCATATCTTTACAGAAATCTTATGCTCAGACATAGCAGTAAGCTTTTGTAAGACTTCCACTGGAGTAATGCATCAGTCTTGTTACAATTGATAATTTAGTCAAGGTTTCTAATGATATTAAAGATTTAGTTGGTTGTGAGAAAGATGCTGTTGATTTGCATCATTTAGTGAACTGGACAAATAAATATCAGATGATGATGACATTTAGTTATGCTATATGCAAGATTATGCATGAGGACTAACTTAAACTATAATTACCATATTGATGGAAATGAATTCAGTAGTGTTATGAAAGAGAAGGATCTTGTTGTTTTGCCAGATTAGTCTCTATGGCCAGTGGGAAAGCAAACAGAATTATTCAATGCAAGTCAAAGGAGATTATAATTTCTTTGCACAAATCCCTGTGTAGGCCTTATATGCAGTACTGTTTTCAGACTTAGGCTCTTTAATTTAAAGACAATGAGTTTAAAAGAGGGCTAGTAGGATGATTCCCGAAATCATGAAATTGTCACATATGGACAAGTTAAGGCACTTACAATTATTTTCTCTTCAGAAAAAAAAGGTTAAAGGTGATCTTATCAAAGTGTTCAAACTTATATATGAAATAAAGATTGTGTTTAATGGTAAGAGGCAGGACAAAGGGATATACAGATTTAAGAACTGGCAGGGTAAAGTCACCATAAATTAAGCAATTATATTTTTCAAACAGGGTAGCGAGCTTTGGGAATAGGTTGTCATTCAGATGTGGTAGATGCAACCAAATCAAGAGATTTCAAGAGAAGACTTTATGAATACTTAAAATATAGGGCTGAACAAGGATAGATGTGTGTTTCAGGAAATGAATGAGGAATCCACAATAGGCCAAGGGGCCCCTTTGTTCTTAAATGTTATATTATTGATTGACTTGAAATTTCAGAGAATAATTCCTGTTTTGAAACACTTAACATTTAAGAACAACAAAAACCTATTGTTCCATCGAGTCTCTCCCACCCACTAAATTAAACATAAAAAAAAAATACATTCAAATCCAACCATTAAGATTCAGATATTTATCAAACTTTCCCTTAAACTATGAAGACAGACACAAAAAGTTTACTATTTATTCTGAATCATACAACAATTTCAGATGATCTGATTCAGGAGTTTAAAATTGTTAGGGGCTTGGATAAACTGACCATGAAAGGTTTGTTGGACTTATGGAAGGATAAGGTTGGAGTGGAAATCCTAAATATTTGAGGAAATAGATATCATTTATGGTATTTTAGACTCAAGCAAAAGTTTTCCTCTTAGAGATGCAAAGTTTTGGCATGTGCTGATACTTTAACCTGCCTTAATATCTTGCTAGATAATTTTATAAATATAATGGGTTATATCTAGGTTAGGCTGGTGTCCCTGTTTGGTGACCTTGAAATTTGAAAAACCAGTAAAAACAAAAACAAAAAATAATAATAATACTAATCCTACAGAGGGAGCTGCACATACTTATTAAAAAATTTCCATGGAAAACAGATACTGTCAATTATTTTAATAATGAATTAAATTTAAATATGACATTTTAAAATCCAAGATGGCCTTAGTATCAGGTTGTAGTTTTCTGCTTTTATTTCTATTTCAAGATTATAGAAATTAACATCAATACACCCCCTCTACCATTATTGTATTTGCTTACATATTTTCAGTTTCTGAAATTCTATCATAGAAGGCTTGAGAAAGCACTAATATTCCATAATATATGGTATTGTCTACATGCACATGAAACTCAAAACATACTGTGCAGAATTTGTTCAAAAACAAACAAAAAACACTTACCTTTGCTGTCTACATGAACAGCTGTCATTAAGTAACTACACATGTTAATCTGGATAGAAAACAACTGCTGCAAGAGTAATTCAAAAATTAATCATGGACAACGAGGATCTTCCACAAAGTACATAGACTAGAATATTAAAATAACAAAACAATTATAAATATAAAAATATGAAAAGTTTCTGAGCCATAAAAAATGGTATTTAATATTTTCACCTAAGGCACACCTAACCTTGGGAAAAATAAAAATTTAAACATAACTTTACGATTTAGAAAAAGTCAGGTTAGGTTTCAGTTAAAGACAATTATATTTTTCTAACTGGAAGTTTGACTTGTGGAATATGTTGCCATTAGCATTAGTGGAGGTCAGCACTTCACAGAAGCTTAAGAGGGGAATCAACAATTTCCTTACAAGCAAAAGGTACATTTAAATATTTCTTAGTGTGGATATGCAAAGGACAGCCTCGAATAACCAAATGGTCCTTAGGTTATGTTTAAAAATCAAACCTAATCATACAACAATCACTCATTTCCAAATATTCCCCTACTTCAACACTTGCAATTGTAGCCTTATTAGTGATTAACAGTAGATCTAATAATAGCATCATTGCTGGTAGGCACTCCAACCATTTGATATTGAAAACTACCACAAACCACTTCAAGAAATCTCTCCCCTTGTTACATGACTCTGTACAATCGCAATCATCAATGTATTAAAATTCAAGTCCCATAATTTTTACATCACTGTTTTTATGAGCATCAACCCTGATCACATTATACAATCTTCCATTAACTCCTTCACTGTCTGACCAGGTGATCTATGTCAACACACAATTAAAAACTTTCTACACCCAAAACCCCCAATTGTACCTCGTATAGATTAAACATGTTAACTTACTTTTGTCTGTTTTTAATCTTAACAAGGTGCAGTACATCCCTATATAAAAAGCCACCCACACCTCTCTCAAACATTGTATCACTATTACAGAACTTTAACCTGAAATTGCAAAATAATTCCTATTACAGTATTCTTCCCATTATATTATAATCTTTCACTTCAACTCTCATAAGAATAGTAGTAAATATGTTGATCCTTGATAATTCCTATTACAGTATTCTTCCCATTATATTATAATCTTTCACTTCAACTCTCATAAGAATAGTAGTAAACAAGTTGATCCTTGATCATACGTTTACCTCTGGTTATTTTTAAAACTATACTTTAACTTGTGCCCTGAACCTCTTTTTCAAAACTTCTTATTGTCCTAGTAATTCATAATTTTCCAAGCTCCATCATCACTATGCAAGTTTGGTTTAAATGGTAAATAATGACAATTATACTAAATCATAAGCAAATGTACATGAACTAACTTAAACTATAATTACCATTTTGAATATCAAATGTGAAATATACTTTGCATATGAATTAAAACTGTAACTTTCCTGCTTAAGTGAAGCCCAATCACTAGGCAGCTAGCAAAAGCACATAATTCTCCCTTACCTTGATGTACCTGTTTCTTAAACTTAAAAGTTAAAGCATAACCCTGATTATCTTTCAATTTCGGTGAACTTGAAGTGTAAGTTTCATTTGAAATTCCAAGCCTTTGATTCTATTAAATACCTTGGTCAAGCAACCAGATTCTGCTGAATTGATACCAAACAAAAACTGGACAGTGGTATAACTATAAACTTATCATTACCACATATTCTTCCGTCAGAAACTTGAGAATGAAAAACTTATGCTATACTCATATAGTAATTTAGTATAGCACTAGCACTGTAGCAGTAACACTGGCAGTACTGCACTTAGTTAATCTGTGATGTAAATTGATGGATAGCGAACAAAAACGTGAAATATTCCATTGGTTATGTAAAACAATCTACCCATGAATTTTACAGAGTTCGAGTTATATACATTCTTGTATAATGTAAAAACTTGTTTTAAACGTTTTAAAAAATAAAACTAAAAACACAAAGCTTTTCTACCACTGTATCAGAAATACCATGCTACTAGCATTCCGAAATTTCCATTCGGTAAACCTAAACTTCATGCATGCATCAACCAATTAAATTAAAAGAAAAATAAAATATGTTAATCATTGCGCCATCTACAAATATATTGTTTTTAACCGAATAAATTTTTATTTGAATTAGATTTTTAAAAGTTCAAAGTCATAAAAAATCCAAAGATAAAATCTCGAACGTCGTCCACATTGTTATTTATAAGAACTTTTAAGGTTTTCCTGAGATATTTTATATTATTAACTTAAATTAAAGATCATGTTTCGCAATTAATAGCAAGTAAGTTATGTTCCTAACGAAAGTTTAAAGCTGAATGTTGAGCAATTAAAATCATTTTAAGTCTATCTGAAGTTAGATTTGTTTTATGTATACCCAAAGATAAATGTACACTTTACCCCAAAGAGAGCAACACTTAGTAACAAAAAAAACTTTGAAAAATTAATATAGACTAACAATAATCCGTGATTTTACGCTTAAAATGTTTTCAATTGAAGTTTGATTAATAGAGACAATAGATGTATAATCAATGTTCGTTATCCAAACTCTTTAATAAAAATAGCGTTACGTCTCCGTTCGTTAGTTAATTTTCCGTAAATTCGTTCCGACGAAACTTTAGCGACACAAGT